TGAAAGGTGAAAAATCAATTGTTATTTTTTAAAAAATGGGCAGTTCCAGCCAAAACTAGACTTTTCGGGAGCAATCCTAAGCAAATCTACTCCCATATTACTCAATACATTTATTCAGTGCAGTGCTCTCAGGATTTCAGCTTTCATTGGTCATCTAGAAGCTATGGTTCTGAATTCCAACTTCTACAGGCAAACCGTGGGTGGAATGTGTAGTCTGTAGTCATCCTTCTCTATTATAGGTTCTTGGCATTCAGTGTACCTGGGCTCTCTCCTGACACTCCTTACAGCTCCTAAATGGGTGCTTGCCATCTGAGAAACGAATGAACAAAGCTAAAATACTTACAGAGTTAAAGATAGGTAGATCACAGGAGTTAGTCGTGGCAATTCTCTTTGTAGCTCTCATGTCCATATACATGTCAATATGCAGCCACTAAAACTGCAGTGACCTTTATTCAAAGCTCAGCAGCTGTGTGGACATCCCCTGTGGGAGAGAGCCAAATGCCACCTCCGTGTGAATGCCTCTTGTACTGCTGTGTGCTTTTTTATCTTTTAACATCATTCTGTTTTTCTGGCCTTTTCATCATACAGGTCAGAATTATATTACCTCCAGACCTAGTGCATCTTGAACCTGCCATAATACTCATTTTCATTCGTTAAACATGCCACTTTTTTCGGCACCAGAGGTCCCGTTTGCTCATCAGGGCACGGAGATATATGATTCCTGGCAGTGATGTTACTCTTGCAATAGGCTCATGTTTCCGAATATTAATATAAGGCTTCACAGGGCTGATGACTTCAGGCTAGATGGCAACTTCATGTCCAATATTATTAACCTCTGCACCTTTTTATTTTAACTGAATGCTCTCTAAACTAAAAAGACCCCCAAGAAATTACAGGGCACAATCCAGCCAAAGATAAGCACTTTAAACATCACACCTTGCGAGAGATCTAAATTTTGTGCCCCTGAGCAGGCCAACCATTTTTTGTATAGTTGTCACTGTATTATCAAGTTCCAGAGTCTTTTCCCCTTCATTTTGTGGCTTCTTTACTGTGAGATAAGCAACTTGTTAGTTTAAGAGGATGCTTCTTTAAAAAAAGATTGCCGTGTATACTATGTAGGAGTGCCAGGTCACCTTCCCAGGCATCCCCTGCATTGCTCACTGTAGCCTCAAAAGCTTGCTGGGAATGGGAGGGGGGTACCTGCCAGCATGCAATGGCATTTCTGGCAAAACCCAGCATGGATGTCATGACATTGGGGGCACTCTACAATTTGTCAAAAATTCTATGGTTTAACCTCAGATTTTTAGCAAATCCTACAACGTCCCCCCAAAAGTCAAGAGGACAGGCATCCCTAATTCCAGGGTTTCTTCTAAGTTTTACCCTCCTCTTATGGCACTGTCCTCTATATTTATAATTCTATTTTCTCTATTGTTTATGATATACATCTGATACCTTTTTCTTTTTTGCAATTTTCCTGCCGTAATCCTAGTCCTATCGCACTGTTAACGATTGCCTTATGCCGCCTGATTACATTGTTCTGTATTGTATGATCTGCCTTGAGTCTCAAGGTGGGCTATAAATAAAGTACATAAATAAACAGAAAAACATGTTAACGGCTGTCAAGTTTGTTTTTGCACAAGTTTGGAAACTTAAAATCATTCCCAAGAAAAAATAATGGCTGGGAAAAGTTAAGGACTTTTTCATGTTATTTAAACTCGTGGCTTGCATGGGAGAAGGTTTGGAAAGATATGATTATTCAGACTTATCGATGTACCTGTGGTATTTGATGTTGTATTTATAGACCTTTTATATCTGTTACATGGTCCTTCTATGAACCTTTTTAGGTTGCTACAAATATTAAGCTTCACAATAAAAAGAGAGATTGAAAGTAAAAAATTTACTGTAAATTATTCTCAATAAGTAAATGTTGGCTTGGATCCCCTAGAGGGTTTTCATGGATTCAAGGATTTCTATCCATCCATGGAATGTGACTGCCCTGCTTCTCCTCTGCGGCTACAGTCCAAAATGCCCCTGAAACGCTGCTCATGGAGGATGCTATGCTGCAGGAGGAAGGAAACTGGTAAACATCACTCCTCCATTCATGCCTGGAAATTCTCAGTTGGATCCAAGCCCGGGTTAAAAAAGCTCTGTGCACAATGTACATCCTCCCTGTACATGGGTACATCTGTTTGTAAGAAAGAGCCACCAGCATTCATTTTACCAATGAAACTGGGAACCAATGTCTGGATAAATGTGGGGTTTATATCACATGTTGAGCAGTACATGGCGGCGTTCAGCGTGACATGAGAATTACTCAAAACACATATGCAGAAAAATCAAGCGTACACTGCACATGGACTGTACATACGTTCACTATAAATTGGGAATAGGGCTACTCTATAGCAACAAGGAGCTGCGGTGGCTCAAGAGGTTAAGACGCTGAACTGCAGGCTGTGGAAGGTCAGTAGTTCAGCGGTTCAAGACCCGGGTGCTGCAAGACAGGGTGAGCTCCTGTCTCTAGTTCCAGCTCCTGCCAACCTAGCAGTTCGAAAGCAAGAAATTGCAAGTAGATAAATAGGGACCACTTCGGTGGGAAGGTAACAGCGTTTTGTGCGCCTTGGTGTTTAGTCATGCCGGCCACATGACCACGGAAACGTCTTCGGACAGTGCTGGCTCTTCGGCTTTGAAACGGAGATGAGCACCGCAACCCTAGAGTCAGATTCGACTGGCTTTCGAGCAAGGGAACCTTTACCTTTACCTATAGCAACAAAGACTTTCCTAAGACACCCCCCCCCCTCCACTTTGCATATTACATTCTAGAAAACAGGTGTTCTTTCCTTGCTGGTGTTTCATTTAGGCTGCATTCAGTGAAATGTAATTTTGTACTCAAGAGAACATAAAATGCATTAATGAACCAAATGCTTCTAAGAAAGCATTTTCCCCACTCCCTCCTACACACACACACAGACACATTTTTTAAAAAATGCTTGTACTCATATATAAGACTGTATTGATTTCCACCAATTCCTCCCTTAGGACTTGGGACAGGGTCCCCCCCCCCCCCCCTCCCCCCCGCAAAAGACATAAGCACTCAGTACCAGCAAATACAGTCACAGAAAAGCCCTATATTTTTGAAAAGTATAAAATGAATTGAAATTAGTTTGAAGATACAGTTTCCATACAGCAGGCCACAATATGCAGCACAGTGTGGAAGCCTTCTCAGAAAGCAGATTCCGGGTACCGTTAAAGGACACAAATTTTGGCCACTCTTATTTATATGTAAGACTTCAGGAAAACTGTTTCAATGTATCTGAGGAAGTGTGCTTATACCCAGAGTTAAACTTTGTTTGGTCTTAATGGTGCCACTGGACTCAAACTTTGTTCTCTTGTCTATTGTCATTATGCTCTGGGGGAGAGGGTGCCATTTAGACTGACTTTCTTCCGCAGCCCTGGATTTCCAACACACCTATACCTAACCTTTATCGTGTGCACCTTGAATCCAGTTTCCATGTCCTCTATGATGCAGACATCTCAAAAAAGTGCCTCCTGGACCAGTGAGGCTGGGGATCCCTGTTCTAAACTGAAGGCAATATTGTCCATGTTCTGGTGCTTAGATACTGCTTTCCCTTTTACTGTTCCCCAGAATGGCTTCCCAGCACATGGACTCACTGCAAAAGAGGCATTTGTGTATTCACATCATGGAAGGGCACATTTTGTTCACAGTTATCTTCTACATGGAGCTTATGTATGGAGAAGATTTGTGGCAGAAAAGGCTGAAGGAACTGGAAAGGGGCAGGAAGGTAGTACTTTCTGGTACGGTCAGAAAATTGCCTGAAGTATATTTCATCTGACCGACTCTTGCATTTGTTTTGCTCTGTCTGTACACATATTTAATCATGTTTGAGTTTTTGGGCTTGACAGTATTTTTACAGCTTGATTTTAATTTTACATATTAAAAATACTTGTATTCTGCCTTTCCTATGGCTTGAGGTGGCTTACAAGTTTTGCAAGATTCTTATACTCCTTAACTCTCCCTTTTGCATACTAGCAACTGGTGACTGTATATAACTGGGGAAGCCACAGCTGGACACATTCCAATTTAATGATATATTTATCATTGATTTATCATCCATCTTACTGGACACAGCCAATATGGTGTAGTGGTTAGAGTGTTGGACTAGAATCTGGGAGCCACAGGTTTCAGTCCCACTCACAGAAGTCTGCTGTGTGGCCTTGGGCAAGGTACACACACTCAGTCCCTGACAGGATTGTTATGAAGCTAAAATGGAAGAGAGGGTAAAAATGTAAGCTACTTTGGGTTCCCCTTGTGAGAAAGGCAAAGTATAAATGAAGAAAAGAAAAATAAAATAAAATAATGTGAAAAAGAAGAAGAAAGAGGAGGAGGAGCTTAGATTTATACCCCGCCCTTCACTACCCACAAGAGTCTCAGAGCGGCTTACAATCCCTTTCCCTTCCCCTCCCCACAACAGACAGACCGTGAGGAAGTTGGGGCTAAGAGAGCTCTCTCTCACGAGAGAGAGCTGCCCTTGACGGAACTGCTCTGAAAGAACTTATGACTGGCCCAAGGTCACACCAGCAGCTGCATGTAGAGGAGTGGGGAATCAAACCCACACTTCCAAATCCCCATCATATACTGATTGAGGTAAGGAGCCAGTCTACTTATACCATAGGACTCTTTCCATTGCCTATATCTGGGGTCGCAAAATCCTCCTCTAATGTGGTTTAATACTTGCTCACAAAATATAGTTCACTGGTTTGGATTGTAATGGCAAACCATGATTTGCCACAGACGTGGAAGTATCCAAACAGATAGCCAAATGTAACAGAAGGATAGAATGTGTCATCCCAACAACCACCTAGGTTTGCTCATGCAATACAAACACAAACACGTCTGAATCATACCAAAGATTCAAACATCATGTTTTAATTTTTTTATTGACAGATCACTGCAACATAAGAATAAAGATTAAATTAGTTACCTGCACATTTCACTCCCTGAGCAATGAGGCCCCACATAAAGTTGGCACAATATTCACACCAGTGTGGTCCCCTGAATGTGTGAACCTGTAAAAAAAAGAAACAACAACAAATAAAAGCTGGAACAAGCGAGCAAAGAATGACTGGCTGGTATATTATCCAAAGGGGGTACCGATCAGAGGTTTCTCTCCCAAAATACACTGATTATCCTTGATTTGATAATGTGCGTATCACATAGGAATAAAAACTCAGAAACAACACATTCTAAGAGACAGATTTATACTGGGAAGATTGCTTTGGTTCCAAAGAAAAAAATGTTCTTTCCAGCCAGTGGACAACTCTGAAAAGTGGAACAAGATTACCTCACAAGGATTTTACACCATGGAAGTGAGTTCTGTGTGGATACTGGGGGTTGGCTCCAGCAAAAGAGCCCATGGGAGGAGTTGGTGGTTTCCAATCAGCCCACCATTTGTCTTGAAACTCCTCTCTGAGGTTTGGGAGAACCTCATACACAAAACGTGCCACAGGATGGGACACGGATGCGATGAGATGGAACTGGGGGGGAAATAGTCTCTTTTTCACTATTCTACTTGTAGCCTGCAGCAGTGGAGGAGGGAGGGGAAGGTGATTTTAACCTGATTTCCCCTTGTTGCAGGAGCATCCTGTCCTATGATGACTTTTGTTTGCAAAACTCTCTGGATTCTGGAGACAAACAGCAAGCTTCTTGGAGAAAGCGAAGGAGGGGAAGAGCCACCTTGGCAACTCTTTCCATAAACCTTTCTGCTGGAGGGAGGAGGAAGGGAGAGAGAGCTTCTATGGAGTCATGAAATTTTAGAATAAATTGCACCCAGATGCCTAATGCTTGGGCAGCAGGACTGGTGTCCCTTCCCAAACAGAAGAGGACAAAACATAACATGTCATGGAGTGTTTTTTTCCCCCTAGCGACATTTAAAACTTACATTATGAGCTTGAGTTGATAATTACATAATGGTCAACAGGAATGC